CAGCAAGTTTTCTACTGGATCTAAATCTAGCAGTTCGACAGTTAGTTTTCATTTATCTCCATCTCTAAAATGGAATGGAGGTGAAGAAAGCTTTTCTTCGACTTAAGAATTTTTCAAGCACGAGTTTATAGATAGAAAATTTCGCTAATGTATTTTTTTTGTTGATGGTTAAGTGAAAAGTGTCGAAAATCACTTGAGAAATTTTAAGCTTTATATATATAAAGGTCTAACGTTCACTATGTGCCTTTAAATTGCCACACAGTGTATATTTACGTCAATTTAAAACGCTGTAGTGGAGAACTTGCGTGAATTCCTGAATCAGATGTGTTTACATTTTAATGACGCGCCGTGCGCACTGGTTAATGTAACATTACAGCCAGAGATCAGGCCAATTCTTAAAATAAAAAAGACACGAAGAAAGAGACAACTATTGTTAAGCTTATTGGTTTGGTGGAGTATAAGTTGTGACAATCTGAGTTAGCAATCTGCTCAATGACAAAACTATAAGAACCCTGTTTGGTTCCGCTAGAAAACTGTAAGTACGCAATTCGATGACTCAGCAAAGGAGTTCTACTTATAATGCATAAATATGTGATACCGTAAGAAAACCAATTTGCATTCATTCAATGCATTAAAAAAAAAAAAAAAAAAAACTCCAACCCCAGCTTTGCCAGTACTACAATATATTCAATGCCCAGACCGAATAGGTATGTAATTTACCATGTCGATAGAATCAGTACCTGAAAACAATATGAATTCGCAGTAAAATTGGTGGGTGAAATAAGCTGGTAAACAAAATCAGTAATAGATCGCTTTAAGGCTCTATGGTTATCTTGCTTTTAATTCCAGCACGGAAAAGGGTCCTAGAAAGAGAGGCGCTAAAATTTTCCACAAGCATACGTGTGCCTACGTGACTATTGCGAGTCTTTTCCCGCTTTAGAATTGCTTCTGTTTAAGACGTGGCTCCCGAGGATAAAAAGCATTTTCCGCCGTTGTAAAACTTTCTTGATGAAATAAGCACCGATTATAGCCCGAATGCAATGCTTTATGTTTTGTAGCGTTTTTTCGGTTCCTTACAACAATTACTTATAGTATGTTATTCATATATTGAACTCGATATGATATATGGTATCTGTTATTCAATCTTTTCATCAAAGCTCAAAATGTTTTAATGTGTTGTTGAGAAGAAATTTCAGCACAAAATAAGCCTGACTTATCATGATTGCTGACATCTCTTTAACGAACACTCTTGTGCACTAACTCAAAGTCAACTACGTCCTTATCTTACGGAAAAGAAAATTCATGAAAACAAAGGCGGATAGCCGACGTCTTTCAAACGACCTTGATCCTGGAGGGCCTCAATGCGTACGTGCTCCCACTACGCGAGCCACAGCTTCAACACAAGGGCCCAGACAGTATAAAAACCGGCCACAAGAACTTTTTAGTCTAAATTTCATTTCAGTGCTCGGGTTCAGAGAAACTCAGTGCTTTCGTAAGGCTTTTGTAACTTCTCAGAGATATTTTTCTCTACCCCTTACCTAAATCATGGGTTTCGATATTCCTGAACCATACAAATGGGACGAGTCCTTCAGGGTTTTCGTGAGTATTTTTCAAAATCATCTTTAAAAAATAATTTAGCATTATGGAATTTTAAGACATCTTACTTCATTTCCATATACATGTATTTGTAGTAAAACAAGTAAGATTAAAGGAATGACGTTTTTTTTTCGAATAATGTGAGAAAACACCTTTTTTATAATGATGTATTTGAATGTTTGGCGGATCTTGATAAAACTTTTTTTCGTGCTAGATGAGATCTATTTTGAAAATGACGCAGTGATCATTAACTTATGCGTCCATTTATAATTTGTAGTATATGCATTATAGAGTGAAGAGAAATGATTGCCACACAGAACTTGGGACATATTAGTCCTTTCTTTTATTACAAAATGAATATTTACATTTGATGTATGCATGTAAATTATAATTGACTTCTTTTTGATGAATTTATCGATTATATTCCTTTCAGTACGAAAACCTGGACGCGGAACACAGGGCTATCTTTGATGGGATCTTTGCGTGTGATAAAAACAGGGGCGACGCCGCTGCGCTGCAAAGTCTCATTAAAGTTTGCAAGGATCATTTCGCTGATGAAGAGGTACGTCTCTCTCTCTCTCTCTCTCTCTCTCTCTCTCTCTTATTTTACCTCTTGTCCTTCCTATAAGCTATATGCGCTCTGAAATCAAAATGCACTCGATTTTTTTTTAAATATAAAATAAGCATTTAACTGAAAAGAAGCACTTCTGTATGCACAACAGTTTTTCATTATATTTTGATCTATCACTGGCTCTTATTATTACCCAAAACTGTGCAGTGTGGGTGATTTCATATAAAAGTGAACATTTGAGTCTCGTCAATGAAACGCGCATTTTGCACAATATATTTGTGTAATTTGAACCTTCGACTTATTAACGCTATTTTACCCTCCAATGTGGAAAGAAATCAACGAAAATTAAATAGTGATATAAAACAACTGATGTGAAGTGATTCAAATGTTGACTTTTTTGTGGAAAGACCCCCAGGTACATGTACAGGTACACATTCTTGTTTCTATAAAAGACTCCCAAAGATAAATGCACCACTTCTACTAGTTTCTTATACCACTAAAATAAAGGCAATATGCCTTTCTTTCAGCCAATATAGTTTTAAAACTATGGATGTATATTTGCTCGCGCAAATGCATACTAATTCAAATGAAACCTCCGAGGGATATTTATAGCACAGAAAGAAAGCAGGAAAATTTATTCATATTTCATCCAGGAAATATGAAACCATGGCCTTTTGGACTTCTTTAATTATTATATAAGTTACCTTTTTTTAAATATGCAATAACATTTGGTCGTGCTTTGTGGCAAAAAATTATTTTAAATGCATATTGAAGGGTAACAATGGCGTTATCATCACTGTATCTGTACCGTAAATGACCGTCACTTTTACACTGTTCTCTTTCAGGGCATGATGGCGAAATCAACAAAGTATGGCGACTTGGCTGCACATAAGCAAAAACACGACAAGTTTATTGCAGATATATCTAAGCTCTCTTGTCCTCTCAACGATGACCAGATTCACTTCGCCAAAGACTGGTAAGTTTTTTCTTGATCGTCTTGCATTCATAAGCACGTGTAAATTGAACCATTTTATAACCAAACTACACTGTATGACGTCATCAGACGACCATCTTATATTTAAGGAATTCAAGCTCGAACTAGATTTGTTACGTCATGTGTTGAGCGTTAAGAACAACGTGTCAACTCATTTAGACCATTTGCAATCCAAGATAGTTATCAAAATGGCTTTCTACTCTGTTAGACCGCCGACCGTGGTTCAGTTTTCCCTCAAGTATGGTTGTTGGGAAGGAACCATTTCATGAAATTCGATTAAATGTACTAGAAAAGAAAGCCAGGCAAGAAAGCGCAACATTAAAAGAAATCCGGATGGACGATCTATTTCTCACGTGCTTTTAAATAAGCAGATCTATTTTTGGTTTAAATATAAAAAAACCCCTTTATATGAAGACGTAGGTTTATGTTTCAATATTATATCGTAGAAGATATTTTTCTAACTGAAACGGGGATTGAAAGTGCAAGATCAAATGGAACAAACGAGGTATGATGTAGAGAGAAAAAATGTTCGAAATGATTATATTTTTATGTAATTTATCACAGTGATACAATTTTGTTTTTCGTTTTTAATAGGTTAGTTCAGCACATCAAGGGAACCGATTTCGAATACAAAGAAAAGCTGTAAGAAAACCGCCTTTGGACAGACTCCAAATGTGTGCCTCCTTTTCGGGTCGATGAACGAAAGTCAATTCTACAAGTTGCGCACTGAAATGAGACTTTTCTGTGGAGATTTCAATAGATACTGGGGAATTGTTAACTAGTTTTGGTGTTTTTGTGAAACAAAGGGATGCGGTGCCATCGTTGCTTTTTGCTTTGTTATTCAATGAAGCACGTTCTTATTCCCAAATTATCATCTGTGGGATATCGCCTATTTCTTTTGTTTTTCATACGCTAATCTATGGTTTTGTTAACTTTCCTATATAGGAAATCTCAGATGTATTTACTTTTGTATTATCATAAATGAAGACAAATCTGATGTGTATTATACAATATTTGGGCCAAATCTGTTGTTAGAATTAAGGTGCTCTAAATATTTACCCGAATCCGAATCTTCAAAACATACGGGCATCGGGACAGCTTTTAATATGACTATCAACGTTTTATCTTTTTATTTCAAAAAATGAATCTCTCGTGTATTTCTTAAAGTATTAATCATTTCAGCACGTGAATTTACTTCACTTAGATGCACATTTTCGGATGCACATCTTTGTCTTTCATAACATTTAGTTAAAATTATCACTTTTAATTATGCACAGTAATTCACTCTACCTTGGCACTCAAAAGCAAGCTTGACAATTGTAAAGTTTAACGCCAGCTGCAGCAAATGCTACATAATCAGTTGTTAAAACCATAGTAATTCAACTTAGCATTTAAAAGGCACACAGTGTAGTATTTCTTGTATTTTTTCATGAATAATTAAGTAATAAAAAGAAAATAAAACGAGCTACCTTTTCCTCCGTTTTCGTTTTTTATCGCCCGTTTCTGGTCAGCTGCTTGTTCATCACGTGATTCAGACACGTCAATACAGTGAAATGGTTGAGAGAGCTCTCGTTCGAAATTTAGTTTAAATTTGCATGTTCAAGCGTCTCTCATTTTTGCGAGTCTCATTATTACACACTCATTCATTATACAGAGTCATTTTAGTGTAGTCTTTTGCTTGTCCATGCCTGTCTATAAAGATTAACCAATTGTGGTTACATTTTCCTTTCTCAGATACAACAAAGGCCACGTACGTTAGGCTACTTAAAATATATTATTCGACTGCAAGCCAAATGAACTCATGCAAGCGCATTACTAAAGTGTGCCTTATAATGAGCACAAAAACGAAACAGTTGCCACAACGTAAACATAATCTGTTTGCAATCGGCGCAAAAAAAGTTTAGGCAGCACACATATGGTTGGAAGACGCTTTCCGCCTCGCCACCAGTTATGAAACACTAGATTTTCTGTTTCCCGCCAATGTGCCGCAACTCTCGTCCTAGGGTCCGAAATGGACTTACATGTAGAATATTCCATTGCCACATTCTACATGTATGGAGAATATTCTTCATTGCGGTAGATGTGCCAGCGCAATCATTGCGATAGATGTGCCAGAACATTGCGCTGGCACATCTACCGTAGGGAGAGTTACGATTGTCACTTCAATTTACTGATTACTCTTTACCTGCCTGTTCAAGCAAAACAAAAGTAAAAAACCCAGCAAATATTGTTATCTGTTATATCTGCGCTATACATGTCATAACAAAATCTTTGATGAATGAAACGATTTATTTACCTTGGCCAAGTGAAGCCGGTTTGTTTTGATAATCATCTAAACACTGAGTCCAACTTTACAAATAGAAACACTGAAAAGGCTTTGAGCATGACACCGAATATTTATTGACAATTCTATTCATTCAGGGTCTGAATATAAAGCAAAAAATAAATATTCAGAAAAACAAATAAGTACTAATTAACTTTTTGATTGAAAAAAAAAAAAAAAAAAAAAAAAACAATATCACATTTCAATATAATCTCTTATTAGAACATTATCTAAGTAACTCTGCCGAATCTCTGATTGCAACTGCAAAGTGAATTTATAATTTATACAAATGAAAAGAAAAATAATTACCATGCGATCAACATTACAGAAGCCCTGACCAGTTATGGTTAATAAAAATATATTTTACAACAAAATAAAGTATGGCAATGACTTCATCATTTCAATGGGGGAAAATGTGAATTTTACAAATGCTGTATTTTGAAGTATAATTTCTGGAAATCAGAACATTCCTATTGAGTGGTAGCAACAAAACTGAAAGCAAGCTACTCTACAGTTCTATTCTATTTAGTTAAAGCACCCCAAAAAGCTATATAGAAATACAATATTTTGTGATCATAACATTATGTATATCAATGGTTGATAATGTATATTTTGCCCATTGAATAGTTTTAGTCATTACTGTACTATATTGATAAAGACATCTTTTTTAACATCAATTACATCTCACATCAACTGTGTTTTTTTTTAAACTGATAATCGTTGAACATCACAGTGACTGTGAAATCTTTAACTTAAGGCAGAAGACTAGATATTGATACTTGATATATAAAGCAGAAACTATGAGCTAACTATAAGTTTGGGTATATATACGTGTGTGTGTGTGTGTGTGTGTGTTGGATATCAAGTCTGGTGCTGGGAAAAATCAAGATATCCCCCAAAGAATACAATGCACCTTGGACCTTTATAGAAATATGGGTGAACGTTGTAAAAACTGAAATTCCTGAAATGCAGCTTGCCATTTTTCATTGCATCTGTACCATAACATTTTAAGAAAAAATTATTTAAAATGAAAACTGAAAATTCTGAAATCAGGCAAAATCTTGAAAACATTAACCAATGTAGAAAAAACGATCTTAAAAATTTTTGTGACTTTTTTCTTTATCATCAAAATATTTCCTTATGTAACCATTGAGAAAATCATTAGCTATTAAAAAAAAAATTTTTTTTTTTCCTTTTTAAGAGAGGCTTAATGCTCATTGTGTCTTTTAAATAATTCAAGTAATGTAACCTTTTGTTATATTGACTTTTTTAACCATACCAAAAAAAGAAATTTGAATCTTAAATGCAGTAGGAAATTAGAAGTTTACATAAACATGAATGTATTATAATGTGAGTTCTAATATTGCCATTACTGCTCATAAAAGTCTTCTCTCACAAGGAGTATTTTCATAAATCAATTTTTTTCTGAAATAATTCCACAGTGAGTTTTACACAGCATATTGCAGTTGAAAAATATTGCCACTGCAATTCATCAAATATATTTGATATGTATATTATAATTGACATGGTTTAAAAGTATTGGATACTCTGCTAGATCTGCTATCACTACAGCACCCAGAATGTCTAGACCCCTAGTTAAAAGTAGAACAACTAGAAGATGGGGAATCACCATACAACTAGAAAACCACTCCCAGAGCACAGATCTCCACCAAGACAGCTCAATCCTGTATTTATGGATCACAACCAAAATGTAATTAATTCTAAGTTAACCCTTAGTTAATCTGACTTATCCTGAAAATTTGATCAAAATCTACCGATAAGTTTAGTTTAGGCTATTATGTAACAAACCAACAAAGTTTAAAATACCTAGAGTATGATTCTACTCCCAGGTGACAGACTCTTTAAGTAAATAAATGGAAAAAAAAGGAAAAATACACAATCTAATTAAGAAATGTAAGTTATGAAAGGAGACAGTCAATAAGATTGTGGCTGGCCCAAAGTTCTCTTCTATAAATTGCATTTTCTTGTTTCTCAAATGCGCCTTACAGAAAGAAAACATAATTTCTGCTCAAAATTGCATTTTATACAAGAACTGAAATGCGTGGAATGCTTGAAATTGTTCATTAGACTCCTCCAAATGAAGAAAAAGTTGGTCCTAAAATTTGTTCTTTTGAGAGTCTAGACCTCACCAGCATGAAAAGGGCTGTGGGGCAGTACTTGTAATTTTAGCAAAATTTCTGTGTGGAATATTCTTTCTAATGCCAATATCTCACATATTTTATTACTTATACCAAAGTGTACACATATATCTTAATTTCTACAATTCAAATTTGGTTTCATCTTATCCTTGTATCACAGTAATCCTGTTGTCGGATCTTGAACACAAACAAACACACAAAAAAAAGAAATAATGCTGTTTATGTAGAATACAATATATTATATAAATGAAAGAGAATAGACCAGAAGCCCTAAAAAGCACCATATTTGCGATCTCCTTGTAAACAAAACTACATGAGGACATTGCCAGAAGACAGAGCAATTGTACTGCAGTGAATGGTTGTCATACATGTACATATAACCACAAAACACTAATACTGTCATTTCATGGGAAGCATCCTTTCATGGTGGGAAATACATACTCATTTTGTAAACTGAACCATAAATCATCCTTCTTGTTCTTCCTCACTCTCTTCCTCTTTTTCTTTCAAGGTTTCGTCTTCATCCTCCTCCTCCTCCTCTGACGGATTCAGCATTTCAGGTGAAGATGACCTCTTGGAGCTTGGCTCACTGCCTGTGTTGACCATTTCCCAGTCTGACCCTTTCCCCTTGGACCCGTCTTCTGGGTCACTGCTACTCTCAGCTGACAACATCATAGGGCTTGCGTGACCTTCCTGTTGACCTTCTTGTTGACCTTTTTCATCTATTTTTGTGTGACCTTGACCTTGATCATGCTTTTGGACTGCATCCTGATGATCTTCACCTTCAGAATGACCTTCCTCTAACTCCTTGCCTGGATCGGAGGTTTCTTTCTGTGTTTCCTTCAGTGAAGAACTATCTTCTTGGTGAAGATCTCCATCTTGAGGAATGTGTGAAGACTCTGCAAAAGTTTGAGCCTCAGCACCCTCTTCATCATTTCCAGAATGACCTTCAATCTCACCTTGACCTTGAGCCTGCGAAGTGACCTCCATGGCGGAAACCAGCATTTGTTGTACAGCCTGGTCATCTGCCTGGCCAGTGATCAGCTCTCCTGATACACCAGTAGTGTCTTCTACAACAATGAAGCATGACAACCATATAAATTCATGAAATCTATAGCAACTGATACACCATAGGCATACAGAGACATTGTAAATAATAAACACAGATACCGCATAGCTCCCACCATTACTGAGCTTAATATGTAGCTTCTAAAGAGAGAAGGGCAAAGGTGTTAATTTCTCTCTAGCATCCATTTGTTAAAAATCCATGCAAATATATAAACACCCCACCTTGTACAGTGTCTTTATCTAAGGAATGTTTCTCATTTCCATCCTCCATGATAACTGCTTGACCTTGACCCTGACCTTGACCTTGTGCCACTCTTTCATCATGTGGTACTGGGGTGGAGGTCTCCGGGTGATCTGATCTGATAACAGGTACAAGTCAAAAACAGAGAAAATGAGATACAATGTCATTATTTCTGTTATTTGAAAGTATTTTTTCGTCAATTCAAATGGAAAGCTTTGGAATGTGAATCAAATGAAATAGCTTTTGTGACTGATGTAAAATAAAGTGAGATTTCATGAGATTTGAAAGAGAGCATTTGACCACACCTGACATATTTTGAGTTTTGTATGGCATCACACAGTGCAGAAAGGGACATTTTAGAAGGACTGCCACGGTTTTATCTACATATGCCATATCTAAAATATCAACAGAAGATTTTAAGCTATGGACCATATTTACACTTGTTTTTAACCTTGGCGTTATTTACTTCCCAGCATACCTTGCTTTTGCCATGGTATCAGGAATGGACTGGAGAGAACCAATCAGAGGAACGATGCTGGCGGAATCCCCCTCCTTTCCTGTCACCACATTACCTGACCCCAGAGATAGCGTACTCAGCGTTGAAGTTGTCGAAATAATACTCCGGGCATCCTGGGATACACGCGGAGAATGCGGTGGTCCACTTTTCATTGGTGCCATCTCCTTTTGCCTGCAGGGAAGTAAAATTGTATGTTTCCTTAAACAAGCAATCACACAAGATAAATAAGAAAGAAAAAGTTAGATGCACACTCTATAGCTTTGACAAGTACTTTATGTAATTAAGCTCGACTATACTCACTATACAATGCTCTTCTTTTCTATGGATTATTGTCATCCAAATGAGTTGGTTTCATTTATGACGTGAAAAAAATAGTACATAACCTTACCTGGTATATTTGACACTCCCACCAGTGCCTGCGAGATTGATCATCTCATTCATAGGAATTTCTGCTCCAGGAGGCAAGTTTTGGGGCTGTCTTGACAGGATATACTCATTTAACTCCACCTGGTGGCGCTTTGCCAGATCTTTTGCTTGAACGCTGCAGAAAGCATATTCATTAAAAACCTTTGAGCTAAAAAAATCATTAACTTCTTAGAGCAATTGAGTTTCGGTCATCATAAAAATAAATATAAATAAATACTAAAAATACCTAAGATTGTTTAAACTCAGTTGTTCTTCTTGTAGCTTTAGGAAGCATTCACTCTTACCAACCCCCCAACACCATTGGAGACTGCATGTAAGAGCTAACAATTACTTCTATCGCTATTGAAAAAAAATTTCTCTATGCACACACAATCTAGGAGATTGTACATATAAACTCACAGTTGTTCCTGAAGCTCCAGTACAATGTTCTCCAGCTGAGCATGCTCCTGTCTGTGTGCAATCTCCTGTTCTTGAAGCTGCTGCACAAGGACCACCTTCTGGTGTATGGCGGCCTCCAGCTGGTCCTCTCGCAGTCTCACCAACTCTTCAAGGTAGCCCTGGAAATATGGAAACAATGCTTTAGTTTAGAAACAAAGGGTCCCAAAAATGGAGGAACCCCTCCTCTCTCAACACCCTGAACCACTCTTGTTTTTGAACATTTAATAAAACATTCAAATCATTTCAAAGACGTCTTTTTCATGAAAAAAGAGGAAGTTAAATAAAAAATGAAGACTTTCCTCCCTCAGTCTCACCAACTCTTCAAGGTAGCCCTGGGAACAATGAACAAAGTGTGCTAAAAATGGAGGGTGCCTCTGCCTGAATAATATACGTTTTTGAATATTTCATACAAAACCCATCAACTCTTCAAGGTAGCCCTGGAAAAAAATGTTTTAGTTTGCAAATCAGGGACAGGAACAAAGTGCGTCAAAAATGGAGGACGACTCTCCCAAGCTCTTGAATAACTCTTAAATTGTTTTACAATAATTTCATACAAAATTGAAAGTCACCCACCTTCTGTTCCATGTTGGTCTTCAGCTGAGCTTCAATCTTCTGGAACTTTGCTTTCCATGTGTTTTCTAAACTTTCGCTCTCTACCATGTCAAAGTCATTGAAGCTGTCATTTGTGCCCACAGAGCTCAAATCATTCAGCTCTCTCTCGTCGTCTGCAATGCTCTCGCTACTGGAGTTACGGAATTAAAAGAACATTGAATGTTTTAGTTTATTCATGAAGATATTTTGTAAGGGACTGAAATATTGGAGTGTTAATAACTTTGGGTGTTTTACACAGTTGATGAAATTCAAAAGGGAATTCTCCCTGCATGAATAATATCCATAGGTTGGATATAAAGTCTGCAATATTAGTTTTTTCAAAAAACATTTTTAAAAAGGTTCCATTCAACAGGCAATGAGATAAATGATTCTCAGACTTGTGTTTCTCCTATTGTGCATTACTTGAATTCATAGATGTGTAACTATTTTACGGAGATACTTTTTGCCTAATGAACAAATAATACCTCTATATCTTGGAGCATGACATATTTTAATCCAAAATCTATAAAAATACCATATAACTTGAACAGAACAGATAAAGCTGCAGTAAATCTTTTGAAATGCCTAAGGATGGACCAATTTCCTCTTAGCTTTGCTGGGAGAAAATAAATAAAAGCTAGACAGATAAAGCAACAAAAAAATTCAAATTCTTCTCGCAAGAATATCATAGGGTAAAGTATGTGAAACAGAACAAAGCTGCAGTACTTAAATACCATTTCCATCAGAAAAACATTTAGACCAATAATTTCCACCTTATGATAGATACCAAGCTAAATTTACTTAAAATATTAAAATAAAACAAAGCAATTTGTTGATAATTTTTTTTTTAAATTCTTATATCTGTGAAGGTCTTATACCATTGACTGAAATTTTAGGACTGATAAAAAAAAATTAACACGAAGAATGAAAATGTATATAAAAATAAAAATAAAACACTAATAAGGATGCAAGCGTGTTACTTTTGATTTAGTTTATAACAAAGACCAAAATCATTCCAACACATAATGTCACAGGCACAGTGCCCGGGTTAAACCAATACTGAACCAATTTAGCTGAAGTCACATTTACACTTAATTTTACAATGTGAGCTTCTGCTTGGCTGAAACCCTCAAAATATAAATGCTGACCAATTAATTCAGCTAAACTGGTGTGAAACTGATGAAACATTTGATATTAAGTAAAAGCACAAACAAATCGTCTTATGACGTATAATTTTTGACACAGGAAAGAAACTTACATATAACCTTGGCTGCTTGAATCAAAGATTGTTACAGTTTTTGTTAACACTGATACAACAAACACATTTACAAACACATCTGTGACAGTATCTACAGGTATTTAATTCCCTTGAAAGTAACTATTAAGCTCTTTATTTCTTTATTTCAGTGGATAATGTTAGACAAGCTTAATAATATACAATAAAGTCACAACTGATTTTAAATTTGGATATATTTCATTTGGAATTTTACAACCAGGTGTGACTTTACATCAAAATAGACAAACACACTAAGATGGAGAAAACAAAATCGTACAAATACATATTTTGCAATGAGTTGGAATTAGCATGGCTTTGTGTTAGAAAATAGTCTATGGGGAAGTGTTAAAACCTCTCCCCCAGGCCCCTCAGCCACTTCCATTCACTTTTTTCATTTCAAAAGGTCAAATTATTTTTGTTTGAAAGATAACTTTTATTTCAAGAATTTCAGTCTTACCTTTGTTGGAATCTCAAATATGGGGTGTAATCTATCATTGGTAAAGCACCATTTTCTAATTCTTTTCCTTTCAGGCAGAAACTGAGTTAAAAGAAATAGAAGTAGTTATTTACAATTTAACATGATAATTTCTTTAAAATCCAAAAACAAAGATGCTCTTTTAAATATTACAGTATGCATGTGCCTCTATCAATTTGATTAGTGTTTGTGTGGGCCACCAGGTGGTGTGACAGTCATGTGAGAAACTAAAAACTGTGACAGTAAAAAAAAAAAAATTGAGGTCAAAGAAGCATATTAATCTTGTTATTCTCTATCAGGCGATAATTCAGTCAAAAATCAATAAAACAAAAATCAATCATAATAAACAAAATCACTTTGTTGAATAAAAAATAATTTTAACATAAAGAACTATGTTTTGGGATTGCAAAAAATAAATTTTAAATTTTAAATCCCAAATTTGAAATTGTATTTTTATCTAATTACCTGAAGAAACCTTCAACTAAATGAACTTAAATAGAGAACAATGCTCTCCAATCCCTCTCTGGCAACTGACAGTGTTACTCTAGTGAACTAAAGCCTGGTAAGATCTCCAGACTAACCTGAAGTCTATGGCATTAAGTATTACTCTAGTGAACTAAAGCCTGGAAAGATAGGCAGACTAACCTGAAGTCTATGGCATTAAGTCCCAGCAGTACACCTAGTAGTATGCTGATCTCCTCTGATAACATCACTGCCCCCTCCTGGTAATATGTCCTGGAGATGGATACAGACAGTAATAATAATAATAATAATAATAATAATAATAATAATAATAATAATAATAATAATAATAAACTTCACTTCTCTCTCTCTCTCTCTCTCTCTCTCTCTGTGTGTGTGTGTGTGTGTGTGTGTGTGTGTGTGTGTGTGTGTGTGTGTATGTGTGTGTCCCTTGTCCTCATCACATACATAAAATTTAAGTTCTATAAAAATACTATAAATCATCAAATCAACTCAACAGACTATGGTGACTATATATGGCTTATAACATGAAAACATCTAATGATTTAAATTGATTCAGAAGTAGTAACCAAAACATACATAAAACCCAAGTTGATTTCTAAGTAACTAACTTACTTGGTGACCTTGACCTGTTTCAAGGCCACAGACAGGTACTCTGACAGACGTTTCTCCATTAGCACCATTCTCAGCCAAGCTCTTCCCTGGAACATCATAAACACAAACTTTTTTACCAAGATTTTTGAAGCAAAACATGTCTGTTGAATCAAAAACAATTTTCTCCTGCATAGCCTCTATTTCTGCAATAAATTAATAATATTGAGGTTTAGACCCTGAACATCAGGGTGACTTTCCACTGAAACACAGTAGGGCCCTGAACCTCAGGGTGACTTTCCACTGAAACACAGTGTAGACCCTGAACCTCAGGGTGACTTTCCACTCAAACACAGTGCAGATCCTGAACCTCAGGGTGACTTTCCACTGAAACACAGTGCAGACCCTGAACCTCAGGGTAACCTTCCACTCAAACACAGTGCAGACCCTGAACATCAGGATGACTTTCCACTCAAACACAGTGCAGATCCCGAACCTCAGGGTGACATTCCACTCAAACACAGTGCAGACCCTGAACCTCAGGGTGACTTTCCACTGAAACACAGTTCAGACCCTGAACCTCAGGGTGACTTACCACTCAAACACAGTGGAGACCCTGAACCTCAGGGTGACTTTCCACTCAAACACAGTAAGGACCCTGAACCTCAGGGTGACTTTCCACTCAAAGACAGTGCAGACCCTGAACCTCAGGATGACTTTCCACTCAAACACAGTGCAGACCCTAAACCTCAGGGTGACATTCCACTCAAACAGTGTAGACCCTGAACCTCAGGGTGACTTTCCACTCAAACACAGTGGAGACCCTGAACCTCAGGATGACTTTCTACTGAAACATAGTACAGGCGCTGAACCTCGGAGTGACTTTCCACTCAAACACAGTGCAGACCCTGAACCTCGGGGTGACTTTCCACTCAAACACAGTGCAGACCCTAAACCTCGGGGTGACTTTCCACTCAAACACAACGCAGTCCCTGAACCTCAGGATGACTTTCCACTCAAACACAGTGCAGACCCTGAACCTCGGGGTGACTTTTCACTCAAACACAGTGCAGACCCTAAACCTCAGGGTGACTTTCCACTCAAACACAGTAAGGACCCTGAACCTCAGGGTGACTTTCCACTCAAACACGGTAAGGACCCTGAACCTCAGGGTGACTTTCCACTCAAACACAGTAAGGACCCTGAACCTCAGGGTGACTTTCAACTGAAACACAGCGCAGACCCTGAACCTCAGGGTGATTTTCTACTGAAACACAGCGCAGACCCTGAACCTCAGGGTGACTTTCTACTGAAACACGTGTATTTCCTGACAACAGATTCACACACACAAACACAAAAAGCCTTCACAGTAAATTTCCACTGTTCAAAACACATTCAAGATTGTGTTGCCAAGGTCACCTTTTCAGTCTGTTGCTCTCATCAAATGTAATAAGGATATATTGATGATATGAAGAAAAAACTTCACCGCTGTGTCAGCCTGAATGTGTACTTTAATTGCTGTAACAGTTCCAACCTGTATCAAAACTTGTTCCGTGATAATATAATTTAGCTGGTTGATCCTTAATTAATCATTAAGATATTACAATTAAATCCTCTTTTTTTCTCACTTTACTTTACATATTTTTATTACTAAAGCCCAAATTTTGTCTTGAAACACACAGCAGTTCAATTATTTGAAAATATTTCATATCTATTTAAGTTTTTAAATAAGATTCTTATAACCCCTCAATAAGGTTTAAAATTTTAAGTGTTTAAATGTAGCATATTTTCTGTAGTCTGAAAATTCATTTTTCTTTTTTTAAATTCCTTTTAGGCAAGCTGGATTTCACACAAACATGCAATAAAACAAAGGGAATTAAAACTCATTGTTTACCTTCACCTTAAAATTACTGAAACAAATAACAGGATCTCAATTTCTGCATCATTTCCTGACATTTTTACTCTCCATCCCCTGCTACCACCTCTGCACTATCATCCCAAGGGGAAAAAACAAGAAAGAAACATGCAAACACAAAAACAAAGAATTTTTTTTATTTTTTCAATAAACACCTTCATCTTATAAATACTGAGACAAATTATAATAGTACAGTAACTTACTCCATTTCTGCATCACCCCTAACTACCCCTCTCCACCCCCCATCCCCCCAAGTTAAAAAGGCTCAGAATTTCTATATATTTTTTAAATAAAGGCATGTGGATGCAACATTTGCAATACCAGAATTGCAACATTTGTCGACTCTCTCCACATGGCCTTGCATACTCAGCACTTAATGCCTCAATTACTCTATAGCTAGTGATGGCAGATCTGACCTCCAGTGTCTGACCTTAAATGATCCATCGGTCATATATGTTCACCCTGAGTACCACTGGGAACTTTCAGGACGTGGGAAATAAGCACATTGAAAATAGAGGTGAGTTCCCAGTGGCCTTTGAGATTCGGGGTGGTAATGTTTGGGTCTGTGTTATAAATTAGCTTAACTGATAAAAAAGATACCTTGGATTTAATACAAGGAGCACTCTACAATCTCAAGGATCTGAACTTCGATACTTTGCAGGTCAGTTAATGTATACACTATGTTAGGAAATGACTCAAAGGTTTTGTCTGCCATGACAAAACAGGGATGAAAGAGAACATCATAATAAATGATAATCCAATGGCACAGAGCTCTGGGGACTAGAGAGAAAATTCTTTTCAGTTAGGGAAGAGTCAAATTAGGCAAAAAAATTATAAGTGACATAGAAAGATCCAACAGTTGTTTTTTAGTGGAAAATCACCCCCTACCTGCTCAAAGAGGTATGTTATCTGGTTACACTGATTGTATTCAGCAAGAGTCCCTGTTATCCAGTGACAGAGAAAATCCAATAGTTGTTTTTTTTTTAGGAAAGTCACCCCCTAACTAGCTGCTCTAAGAGGTATGTCATCTGGTTAAACTGATTGCATTCAGCAAGAGTCCCTGTTATCTACCTAGTGCAACATTTCCATTGTGAATGCACCCTGTGTGTGATGACCACATAAAGAGCTGAGGTCAGTGAGAGTTAGCCAAGGTCAACCTGTGACCTTGCTTCAACGGTTCAAGGAATCAAATCATGGTAAAAGATAAGACTTAATGGTTTCCATGTGGACCTATACTTTATAGCTGAATACTAGTTCATGCAAATATATATTGACCAACAAATAGCAAGCAACCATGTAACAGACCAAAAACAACAAAGCTTTACACAGAAGATAACAAGCAGATATGATACACTAGTAGATATTTATTTCATGGCATTATTATATCTCATATCCCATATCGTTTTTTGTTTGTTTGTTTTTTCAAAGTACTTTAAAAAACAAAGTACTTGCAAAAACACATAAGATCACACTTACTGATAACTTTTTAAGCCCTGACTTAACTGAGATCTATGCAAATTGCTACTAACATACAAAAAGTGTTTACTCGTCAACATATTTGAACAAAAATATGCCATCTTATGAAAAAAATGAAAAAAACAATATGATTAATATATCTGGAATTTTCAGAGCATGCTGTATGCATTCCTATAATAATATTCTTGTTTACTAATAACTTAAAACAATACACCATGAAAAAAAAAGAAATAACAGGATAGGGGTGTAATTAAAGATTAGAGTGGATACCGTAATATGTTCTGGTAACACATTGAATAATGAAAATTCTTTCTTTTTTGTATTATTTATTATTCATATTCTCCTTGCCTTGGCAATTCCTCAAGGAAGAGTGAATTTTTTATATTGTCTTATATTGGTTTCTCTTCTATTTCAAACCCTTATGTCTCAGTTATTGTCTAAAAGATTTCATTATGCAGTCTGACCTATATATTCCATGAACTGCAAGATAGTAACGAGAATTTTTTTTTAAAGTTTGAATGCTTCTCTTTCAAACCTGTTAACTAGACAGTATACTTATTTTCAAAAGGAAATCACATTTCCAACAGTAATGTTACCCATATCTGGCCCGTAGCCAGGGGGAGTTTGGGGGGGGGTTCAAAAGAACCGCCCCTTTTGTCAGGAAAAGGTCCATTTTGGGTAAAATTTGATCTATGTACACGTAAGTTTCATTGTAAAAGGTCCTCTTTTTCAGAAAAAGAACCCCCTTTTGAATTTGCTGGCTACGAGCCTGCATATTATTAATTTCATCTGTTGTTTTGCTATACCTCTTCCCATGACCTTGTGATAATGATAATACTCAGTATTTATTACCTTGGCTTTGCTTGACTTGACATTCTCCATGTTTTCAATGCTGCTGATACAGCTGTGAGGAACTTTCTTACAGGCTGCCCTGATGTAGTCCCAGAACTGTCTCGCCTCAGAAACACCAAACCATGTCTGGTTACCTGACAGAGTAATAAATACAGAAAGAATAAATAAATAAATAAATAAATAAATAAATAAATATGTGAAATTATACCTTGGAACAACTTTTCTTCAAAAAACAGTTTGTGTAAGAAAAATAGTCAAGCATGCCTCTAAAAAATACTCCATTACAAAATAGCCATTTGCCATTTAATTCTTGTTTTAATTAAATTTGTGTGTTATCATTTAGTTTTCATTGTAGCAGCATGNCATTCCACTCAAACACAGTGCAGACCCTGAACCTCAGGGTGACTTTCCACTCAAACACAGTGCAGACCCTGAACCTCAGGGTGACTTTCCACTCAAACACAGTAAGGACCCTGAACCTCAGGGTGACTTTCTACTGAAACACAGCGCAGACCCTGAACCTCAGGGTGACTTTCTACTGAAACACAGTGCAGACCCTGAACCTCAGGGTGACTTTCTACTGAAACACGTGTATTTCCTGACAACAGATTCACACACACAAACACAAAAAGCCTTCACAGTAAATTTCCACTGTTCAAAACACATTCAAGATTGTGTTGCCAAGGTCACCTTTTCAGTCTGTTGCTCTCATCAAATGTAATAAGGATATATTGATGATATGAAGAAAAAACTTCACCGCCGTGTCAGCATGTATATGTGTACTTTAATTGCTGTAACAGTTCCAACCTGTATCAAAACTTGTTCCATGATAATATAATTTAGCTGGTTGATCCTTAATAAATCATTAAGATATTACAATTAAATCCTCTTTTTTTTCTCACTTTCCTTTGCATATTTTTATCACTAAAGCCCTAATTTTGTCTTGAAACACACAACAGTTCAATTATTTCAAAATATTTCATATCTATTTAAGTTTTTAAATAAGATTCTTATAACCCCTCAATAAGGTTTAAAATTTTAAGTGTTTAAATGTAGCATATTTTCTGTAGTCTGAAACTTCATTCTTCTTTTTTTTAATTCCTTTTAGGCAAGCTGGATTTCACACAAACATGCAATAAAACAAAGGGAATTAAAACTCATTGTTTACCTTCACCTTAAAATTACTGAAACAAATAACAGGATCTCAATTTCTGCATCATTTCCTGACATTTTTACTCTCCACCCCCTGCTACCACCTCTGCACTCCCATCCCAAGGGGAAAAAACAAGAAAGAAACATGCAGACACAAAAACACAGAATTTTTTTTTTATTTTTTCAATAAACACCTTCATCTTATAAATACTGAGAAAAATTATAATAGTACAGTAACTTACTCCATTTCTGCATCACCCCTAACTACCCCTCTCCACCCCCTATCCCCCAAGTTAAAAAAAAAAAAGAAAGAAACACACACAAGCTCAGGATTTCTATATTTTTTAAATAAAGGCATGTGGATGCAACATTTGCAATACCAGAATTGCAACATTTGTCGACTCTCTCCACATGGCCTTGCATACTCAGCACTTAATGCCTCAATTACTCTATAGCTTGTGATGGCAGATCTGACCTCCAGTGTCTGACCTTAAATGATCCATCGGTCATATATGTTCACCCTGAGTACCACTGGGAACTTCCAGGACGTGGGAAATAAGCACACTGAAAATAAAGGTGAGTTCCCAGTGGCCTTTTAGACTCAGGGTGGCAATGTTTGGGTCTGTGTTATAAATTAGCTTAACTGATAAAAAAGATATCTTGGATTTCATACAAGGAGCACTCTGCAATCTCAAGGATCTGAACTTAGATACTCTGCAGGTCAGTTAATGTATACACTATGTTAGGGAATGACTCAAAGGTTTTGTCTGCCATGACAAAACAGGGATGAAAGAGAACATCATAATAAATGATATTCCAATGGCACATAGTTCTCGGGGACTAGAGAGAAAATTCTTTTCAGTTAGGGAAGAGTCAAATTAGGCAAAAAAATTATAAGTGACATAGAAAGATCCAACAGTTGTTTTTTTAGTGGAAAATCACCCCCTACCTAGCTGCTCTAAGAGGTATGTCATCTGATTAAACTGCATTCAGCAAGAGTCCCTGTTATCTACCTAGTGCAAAATTTCCATTGTGAATGCACCCTCTGTGTGATGACCACATAAAGAGCTGAGGTCAGTGAGAGCTAGTTAGCCAAGGTCAACCTGTGACCTTGCTTCAACGGTTCAAGGAATCAAATCATGGTAAAAGATAAGACTAATGGTTTCCATGTGGACCTATACTTTATAGCGGAATACTAGTTTATGCAATTGTATTGACCAACAAATAGCAAGCAACCATGTAACAGACCTGAAAAACAACAAAGCTTTACACAGAAGATAACAAGCAGATATGATACACTAGTAGATATTTATTTCATGGCATTATTATATCTCATATCCCATATCGTTTTTTGTTTGTTTGTTTTTTCAAAGTACTTTAAAAACAAAATTTTAAGGTGTGATTGGTGAGGGCAAAAACACATAAGATCACACTTACTGATAACTTTTTAAGCCCCGACTTTACTGAGATCTATGCAAATTGCTACTAACATACAAAAAGTGTTTACTCGTCAACATATTTGAACAAAAATATGCCATCTTATGAAAAAAAATGAAAAAAACAATATGATTAATATATCTGGAATTTTCAGAGCATGCTGTATGCATTCCTATAATAATATTCTTGTTTACTAATAACTTAAAACAATACACCATGAAAAAAAAGAAATAACAGGATAGGGGTGTAATTAAAGATTAGAGTGGATACCGTAATATGTTCTGGTAACACATTGAATAATGAAAATTCTTTCTTTTTTGTATTATTTATTATTCATATTCTCCTTGCCTTGGCAATTCCTCAAGGAAGAGTGAATTTTTTTATATTGTCTTATATCGGCTTCTCTTCTATTTCAAACCCTTATGTCTCAGTTATTGTTTTAAAGGTTTCATTATGCAGTCTGACCTATATATTCCATGAACTGCAAGATAGTAACGAGAATTTTTTTTAAAAGTTTGAATGCTTCTCTTTTAACCTGTTAACTAGACAGTATACTTATTTTCAAAAGGAAATCACATTTCCAACAGTAATGTTACCCATATCTGGCCCGTAGCCAGGGGGAGTTTGGGGGGGGGTTCAAAAGAACTGCCCCTTTTGTCAGGAAAAGGTCCATTTTGGGTAAAATTTGATCTATGTACACGTAAGTTTCATTGTAAAAGGTCAGAACTCTTTTTCAGAAAAAGAACCCCCTTTTGAATTTGCTGGCTACGAGCCTGCATATTATTAATTTCATCTGTTGTTTTGCTATACCTCTTCCCATGACCTTGTGATAATGATAATACTCAGTATTTATTACCTTGGCTTTGCTTGACTTGACATTCTCCATGTTTTCAATGCTGCTGATACAGCTGTGAGGAACTTTCTTACAGGCTGCCCTGATGTAGTCCCAGAACTGTCTCGCCTCAGAAACACCAAACCATGTCTGGTTACCTGACAGAGTAATAAATACAGAAAGAATAAATAAATAAATAAATAAATATGTGAAATTATAGCTTGGAACAACTTTTCTTCAAAAAACAGTTTGTATAAGAAAAATAGTCAAGCATGCCTCTAAAAAATACTCCATTACAAACTAGAGGATCAGAGAGGCGATACCGCCTCTGGATATTGTACCACCAGCTGGAGTAAGCGCATTTGTATGGACCCCCCCCCCCCCGGAAAAAAAAAAAAAAAAATGGACACCACCACCAGTCTTGTGCTTGACAAGCTCTATANAAGGTCCTGGTGGTCTAGGAGGAGAAGCGGTAACGGTGACTTGTTTCCGGCGCCCGACTGCGGAGCCGCAGGAGCCGGCGGAGCCGCAGGAGCCGGCGGAGCTGTACGAGACGGGTCGGGACTAAAACCATGAGTACCGCCAGCGTATACGCTGGTGGTACTAAATAGCCATTTGCCATTTAATTCTTGTTTTAATTAAATTTGTGTGTTATCATTTAGTTTTCATTGTAGCAGCATGTCTTTTTTTTTATCAGTATAGTCTGATAACTGTGTATTATAAATATTAGTGTTTGATAAATAATTACTGAGTAGTGAAAACAATTATGCACATACAATTTGTTTAAGACATTTCATGTCATGAAAAAGAAGAAAAGCCCACATTATGCAGAGAGAGAGTGCATGTTGTGTAGAATAATTACTCAAATACTCAATCAGTACTCAAATATGTACTAGTACTAGTAGATAACAACTCTTATAAAAAAAATAAAAAAAAAAGCAACACAGCTTGATTTTGTGTGCATTTTGAATATCTAATCACCAAATATAAGTCACCAAATACATTTCCTCCTTTCTCAAGGCCCCTTAAGATCCTAGGTATCGATAATAATAATTAAAATTTAATAATAATGAAAAGAGCTTACTTTTTAGTCTATGGCTGAGTACATGTTCCATAATAGCCAGGAAATTGACAAGCTCATCACAATTGTCATCTATTGACTCAAAACATGATTTGTCAATGAGGCTCTTAACAGCATACCTGAATAAAAAAAGAAAAGAATGAAAAAAAACAAAAAACAAAAACAAATGTTTTATGCAAATACAAATTTGTAATTTCATTGCAGACCCAGTAAGCCACAAAGCATGTTTTTAAAACTTCAGATGTTAAAATAAAATATAAAATGAAATTGAAAATATATCACATTCAACTGTCATAGCATAAATAATTGCAAATATTTTATGAAAGGAACGATTGTAAAAAGGGCTCGACGCATTATAACAGTCCATTGGCAAGGTAGAAAAGCAGTACTGGCCGGGTCTCTGTAGCTAATTTATGTCAGTCAGACCTAGGGCAAATTATTACGTAATTACAGTTTACATTTGTCACGTTTCAAGTCCCATATTCACGCCATTGTCACAATGATCTCAAATATATACCTGCAAACTTGGATTAAATTTTTCTTTTGAACAGCAATCCCTCGTATTTGTGCTTGTTTTGAGACAGGCACATTGTTACTGGACACCTGCGTCATTATGTTTAGTCCGTGTTTTCAAAAATTCGCAGGATCATAACCTTTTTTCAGCAGAAAAATAAATCAGCTGCCTCCAGGTCAAAGGGCGCCGCCATACTGTTAGTCTCCATTCCAAACAAAAAGAGATTTTTGCAAAGAAACAAAGTCAGCGAAAAAAAGCAACTATTAGTACACGAGAAATCAAAATCAGATATGAAATTTATTTTGATGGTGTTTTAATATTGCTCACTTCATATTCTATGCATATTTTTGTGATATTCGAGATTAACTAGGTGAATGTGATCTGAAGGTCACGGGGCCACTGAGGTCGCATAAAGTACCCGGATGAATCACAAGGAAGGCGCTTCGACAGGGCTTGTGAACAGCCAGTGCCGAAACTTTGAGTGAATTATCATATATTAAAATAGTAGAAACATTAGAAATGTTACCTTGTACGAAGAAACATTGAAAAAGAGAGAGGAGTCGAAAGGTAAGAACGAAACGTAAAACATAAGCCGCATTATAGAAACTTGCCCCTGATTGATTCGCGACTTTCTGTTTGGGGATATTTCTCTCTCTCTCTCTCTCGACTCAAATCTGTGCTAATAAACATACCATTTACATATGTTACTTTATGAAATATTTCACCAGTGTATCTTATTCAGACTTAAAATTACATGAAGCATGGTGCATACGTTGAAATGTAACAACCGCGAAGCCAGCTTGTCGTGTTCGTGTAGGGACACCGACGCAACACTGGTCCATCCTTTCCCATAAAATATTACAATTCTCGCCAAGCCCTAGAAATAAAATTGTTATCGAGGAGTTTTAAATCCAGCATTGTATGTATGCATTAAACTTGCACTACTGATTGATTTTTGAAAACTATTTTGTAGTGGAATTCGGGGAACTTTACAATTTCAATATGCGCCTTACCAATAATATTTCTTTACTGTTTTGGTGATTGATTTGATGCTGTACAATATGATATATTTGGTTACTTAATGTCACTCTTTTGATATGGTAAAAACTTGTGGTATTTTTAAGTTAGACCTTAGGTTTCAAAAGAAGGAAGCTTTAATTACATCACCATAATGAGATGTGGGTGAACTCACAGCTAATGTGGTAAGCCTCAATCATTATATATATAAATAATGAAATGTAACATATTGGAAAATCTTTACAGGTAAATCTAAACTCTATTTAGGGAAGCCCTAGTTATATACTTTCAATAGTATGTATTTTAATGATTTGAAGTCAACCGTCATTCTTTATTTTTTGAGCATTCCTTTTTGGTTATGACCATAAGAATAGTGAAGAAGGTAATTGTAGATTAAACTCTGATTCATGACTTGTAATGTGCTTTTTTCAATCTCAGTAGTTACATATGGCAATAATGAAACATTTGCTAAACAGATTTTTGGACAAGTCATTGAATAAATAATCTTTTTCCTAAATACAATATTTTTAATACAAGTCAGAGTATGGAAGTGTGACCACGAAGTGATAGATTCATGCCATGCCAAACTGTGTCAGCATGAGCCCTGGAGTATACTCGATGATAAGGAATTCTGTCTAAAGGTATTGGGAATAGTCTGTTTAATATGACAAACTGACTGATCTCACAATGCATTGATATATTTTTCTAAAGGCAAGAATGGACAAGGATCGTAGATGCTTCCTTGTATTTATATAACCATGAGGATATTTACTGCAGTTTTATTTTAAGGTTTTTAAACTATGGAACATTTGAAGGTCACTTGTATTTTTAACAGCTGTTCATTTGTTTTCCATTGAGTGATGGTCTTGATACAAAAAGTGAATTTTCTCATGAAACATATAGGATGTGGTAAAGGGTGTCTTGGCTATAAATTTAAAAAAGGTAACAAGGTGAAAAGATTGTTGCATAGGCCAGTGCAGCTGTATCGTTGAATAATTGAAAAAAAAGCAGCTTTTGATGCTTATCATTATTCTGCAGTGAGTCTTTTAAAGATGCATACAAAGTCAATTTTTTGTCACAAAAACCACCCAAATGCCAGCATATAGTTTCAAGTAGTATAACTAAGACCCCATTTCCAGAGATAAGATCGATCCAACTAGATCAACCTAACTCTTTGGGAGTTCACGCTAAGTAGCTATCAGCCGAGCAGGCACAAAAGTTAATTACCCCCTTACAGCTTCTAGTAGGCGGGACGGACATTATCTGACAGTAATCTAGTGAGACGCCCCACGGGATAGATCGATCTAAAATCTATGGGAATGCGCCCTAAGAGATGAGATCTGAGAATTATCAAAATGCATTGCTTAATTTTATCCGAAAATGATGTTCGAATGGATTTTGCTGCTAGCATGCTATGCTGTATGTCAATGGGGCAGAAAAGTAGGTCACGAAAGTAGGTTAAATTTACAACCAAAAATTTAAAGAATGGAGCAGTCTAAAGCTCTTTTACGTCTGATCGAGTGATCTATTCAGTTTATCCCTTGGCATGGCAAATTTATTTGAGTCGTATAAGAAACTAGTAGAAGTGGTTTACATTTAATTTATGGGAATCCACGGTTTGTATGTACCTTTGAAATAATTTGCTTGTTTAATCCCTGCAGTTAATCTATTCAGTGTCTATTAGGGGATTAGATGGCAAGCTTTTAAGTAGGTCCCCATATTTCATCCGCTGACTCGTTGGTCCTCTGTTGTGAATATCGCCAATGGCAGTGAGCGAATGGGACAACAAAGGCTGCTAGATTTATTACCTAAAATAAAAAACGTGGTTGTGATATAATTGAGCAGCTAGTTCAAAGGATTTCTGAGAGAGCCTTACCTAGCATACCTGAAAATTCAACTTCAGTTCCAAGTAAGACCTCATTTCAATTGTTTTCCTGTTAAGTGTGTGAATACACATGCATCCTGATGTCTTAGGCCCCATTCAGAATAGGGGACTAACTTGTCCGAGGATCAAATATGGCCGACCCACCTGAATACTTCCCCTCAGAGAATCTATTCAGAGTCTGTTAGGGGATTAGATGGCAAGCTTTGTGGTGGGTCGTATTTGACCCTCGGAGTAGTTAGTCTCTTATTCTAAATGTGGCCTTTGCCACTATGTTGCCCTTTCTTTGAACCATGTGTCCATTAGGTAGTTCATCATGTTGACAGTAACATCTGAAAGCTGGAGGTATCACTTATATATAGAGAGAGAGAAGAGGGAAAAGGTGATTTATTATTCTGCTTTATATTGTAAAACATATTCATATACACAAGCATTGAAACAAAATTAGAAAGAAATAAGTTATCAATGGATGGATGTAAGATTGCCAAAAACAAAGTGATACAAAAGATGTTTCCATTTGTTTTCAGCTATGTTTAAATATGAGTAAAACTGTGGGCTTTTTAAATGGAAAGCATAAAGGTTTGAGACCACAAAAGACCTCTCATGTTCTTTTTGTCAGTGAATAGCAGAAAATGCCAGCAGTACGAGGAATAGAATTAGTCATGATGAATGAGAGCAATCCCATGATAAACAGAAACCATTATGAAAGTGATTTTGCTTGTTTGTTGAGATAAATGGAGTTGTCTTCCTGCAGCAGTACAGTAACTTGGGCTACATCTTGGTAGCTGTGTTTCAGAATGTTTTAGGTGTTAATGCTTGGTAGATGGCTTCATTAACATTTTGGTGTGGTTGAGCACAAAGGCCACGTTCACAACAGCGGACTTACAGGTCCTGGGAGCAAATATGACTGACCCACTTCTGGGGTAGCGCTAACACTCGCCAATTTAGCCAAATGCTATTTGACTTAAATTGGCTAAAGAAAAAGGGCTTGACATGTTTTAGCCAAGTTATAACCATTTTGATAACAAATTGACAAAAATGTGGTGATTTGGCTAACTTAGCGAAAAAAAAAATTGCTAGCGCTTCCCCAGCACTTGAATGTTTGTCTCATAATCTCCGCGGATTGTTAGGTGGATTTTTAAGTGGGTCGCCTTATTTGATCCATGGATCTGTTACTTCGCTGTTGTGGATTCAACCAAGGGTTTAGCCAGCGAGACAGCACATGGGTGGCCTGCTCAAGCTGAAGTTGGCTTTTTCTGTGACTGGATGACTTGTTAAAATAAAGTTTTCAGTTACTACNATGTGTGTGTGTGTGAGGAGGGGGGCATATCAGGGGCATGTTTCACAAGGCAGGTAAATTTTTTGGGGTAATGAGATGACTTATTGAGTTTTATGGAAATCATCTTGCCTTTGTATACAGCTTAAGTTAAACCTCATGAAAATCATCTTGTCTATACACACAACTGAAGTAAAATCTGTTGTGAACGCGACTAAGCATGGGTCTAATGGAAGTCCTTGTCTGTACACACAACTTATATTAAATCTGATGTGAACACAACTTGGGCTACCAGGCTGTGATCAGTTGAAGAAAGGGTCAGACATCTGTTCTCTAACAAGATTCTAGACTGACCGCTCAGCAAACAGGTAAACAGTTGATCTTTTAGTGGACACATTTTACCTGACATATGATTACTAAGTCAGCTCTAAGCCAATATCAGTTTGCATCTGTGGCTACAAGGAAGCTGGCATTATTTTATAACCTATTTTGCTGCATTGTGCATGGAAACTGTTACTAGTATTGCCAGTCTAGCTGGTCTGTTGGTTTGTTCTTAAAAACAAAAAGGACAGTTGTGCGAAAGTAAAAGGCAGATTCAGTGTGCTACATAGAGTTGAATGATTCCATTGACATTGGTCTTTGATGTTCTGGGAGTCCATACACTTTTATTTAGTCTCATAGACTGAAATGTTGGCAATATCAGCCAACTAAACACCACAGGTGTTCACAAAGCTAGGGGTGCCTGTGGGCATAGAAATAAAATTTTTTAATCTGAATCAAATTTTCATAGAAATGTCTACAGGACCAGGGGCTATGCTGTTCACTGTAAAGAGTTTTTAATTTGTAGGCTAGTTAAAAAGTTTTCTAGGCCTGATATTATGAAGTTTGTTTCTTGTGGAAAAGTATGTAACCTACAGAGTTTTCTGATGTATAGAATCCAGTCAGATAAGGTATCTCAGTTAAAGTACATGCTAATCCATTTTGAACTGTCTTCGGGGGAAGTGTACTGTAGTATGTAATCTTCTGTCTCGAGTCTAGACATAACCTTGAAATACAACTGCATTTTATATCTTAATTACACCACTGAAATAGGGCAATGTATTCAAGCACAGCCGTTCTCTTACCAGGAAATTTCATGCATAGATGGTTATTTGATTATGAAATAGCACACATCATGTTGAGATGTGAAGAAAAAAAATGGCAGATATTGAGATTAGGAATGGATGATAATGGACAAAAGAACAAATCAGTGTCACATCATGTGCAGGGTTTTTTTTCTCAGAGGTAACGTCCTTAAATGGCAGAAAAATTGATTTTGTTAGAAAGCTGGAATGTATTTATTGGATAGCGCCAAGCCTGTTGGCTGGGAAGGGGTTAGGAGTTCTAAAAAACAAACCTGCCCTTTTTATATGAAAAGGGCCCCTGTGAATCAAAATGAATTTTATATAATGTAGGTTCTGTGCTGTTTCTCAGGTTGGTTTAGCTGATGGAGTAAATAATGTCCACTTTTCAGAAAAAAATCCCTGAGGCCCATTTAAAACTGGTGGAGACCACATTTTTCAGTCTGAAGTTTAGACTGATTTCTTGGCTGGGTTTTGTGAAGCTGGTCCAGGCTTAGCACCAGCATTACCCTGGGGCTGTGTATGAGCTTGGACTGCTTTAACTTTAAGACCGGTGGCAGGTTGTAATATCTTAAGAACATTTATCTGCATACCTTGAATGCCAGGATGGCAGACAGAGGCTGTTAAAATAAAGTGCCCTCATTGTCAAAAGATACAGATTTTAATACAGACCCTATCTTAGTGTGCATGTCGTTAAAAACGTACAGTAAATAGAACAATTAAAACTACATAGATATAATTATATGCAGATAATTTTAGCTGTAAAGTACATTCATTCTAATTTCTTTGTTTAGATGACCTGATATATAAAGTACTAGTGTACTAGTGGGCTGCTGAACGTGGGTGTTAAGTTATTCATTATAAAGGCATTAGAGAGGTAGAGCATTCTGTTATTACCAGTTATTGGCTGCTATCCATCAGGCCTACCCAACTACCAGACTCGGCACCTGAGGATCCTGAATTAACCGTTACCGGTATATGGGACCACGCTACCCGTTTTCAAGGTGTGTGTCAGATCGCATTTCGGAGTATCATATCCCAGAACAAATTTTGTAGCATGACTGCGGGCTCATCCACGCTCGGCTGAACAACCTTAAACTGTACTCTTACTTTAGAGTACTCTATTTTATTGTCTCTATGGGGATATGGGGACTTAACGACATTCGGTTTGAATGTTTAAACCACTTTTGATAGGGCTTTTTTGCATTGTATTAGATTAATGTGGCAGTTTAAGGTTCATCTAGGTGGCTTTCAAAATTATGCACCCGGTTTTAAAATCATATAGCGATTTTACGACAATCGTTTACTATCTAATCAAGGTGACAGCCGAGCATATCAGGGCTTATCCTGTCGGTGTTCTGGCTGATACTCCGAAATGCGATCTGACACACACCTTGAAAACGGGTAGTGTGGTCCGATATACCGGTTAATTCAGGATCCTTAGGTGCCGAGTCTGGTAGTTGGGTGGGCCTGTCCATGTTGCTGTAGACAAGGTAATTGTGTTTTGTTCAACACAGAAAGTTTTATTTGAAACATTAGTGAAATCATCTCTCTCTCTCTCTCTCTCTCACTTTGAATCCAGTAGCATTCATTTTTACAAAAATTATTCAAGAATTACCATCAATGTTCATTTGTTCTACCAATAAATTGAATAGGTTTAGCACCTTTGCAGTATACAAGGGTAATACATGTTATTGGTAGGATAGCACTATCCAGTGTTGATGAAATCGGTCAGTCATCTCAGGTCCTGTCTCACATTGATCTCAGTGGCTAGAAACTAGTGAGGCATGTAAATTTTATTGCTTGTGTTTGGATAACTTTCTGCTGTATAAACCTGGGGATATTTGCCATCCAATATGTCTTCTGGCAAATAAACCTTTTATTAATGACAAATTCTTCCAAGTATTTTCTGGGTTTCCTTTTCTCTGATGCTAACCTGTAAAATGTCTTCATGTGGTTTGACCCTCTGAGGCCCTTTTCGCATTGTATGCTATGCTTATCTGTATTAAAAGTCGTTGAGAGATAAAAAACTTGATAGGTAGCCCATGTTTTACAAGTGAGAGAAGTTTAAATGAAGGCAGTCCCCTTGCCCAACACGCCCCATTTACAATATTTTTTTAGATTGGTAGGAACAGCTGAAAGCAAACCTAAGGACAGGACCTAATATTGTGGAGATATTACTTTGCCTCAGACACCTTAGTCCCTGGTTGGTCTGTCTGGTTATCTGATTAGTTCCTGGTTGAGCTGTCTGGTTGACTGATTTGTTCCCGGGTTGATTTATCTGGTAATCTGATTAGTCCCTGGTTGATCTGTCTGGTAATCTGATTAGTTCCTGGTTGATCTGCCTGGTTGTCTGATTAGTTTCAGGTTGATCTGTCTGGTAATATGACTAGTTCCTGGTTGATCTATCTGGTTGTCTGATTAATTACAGGTTGATCTATCTGGTCATCTGATGCTACCTTTTAGTCTAATTTGTGGTTTGAATTATTTTTCCTCCGAACCAGCATGAAGATTCTCTTCTCCCTGTGATGGTTAGATTAGGTTCTCGATTTGTAAACTACTTCAGGGAAGTCATGATTAATAGTTGTTTGGAAAATTGCGTACTTTCAGAGTACTTTTATATTGTTGGGGTACCTGTTTATTGGTTGTTTATGTGGAAAATTGATGCCTTTTTGAAGCCACTTATTGTCTTTAATGGAAGAAAAATTAGCCGTGGAATTGGACTTAAATTTGTGTGTGTCAGATAGTGACATATATAGTCACTTAATAATTTACTTGCATGTGGCAAAAATGGAATGTTTGGTATCTTTTGTGCATGATAAATGCTTTTATATGTTAAAAGTTTGTACAGTAACAGCATGATGAAAGTACAGAAATAAATTAAAAAAAAAAAAACTTAAAGGAAATGGGAATGTAAAATAAGTATTTTTCAAACGTTCATTTTATCTCGTGACCTGTGACGCATCCCATTCCTGTGACTGGTGAATGCTGCTTTTTATTTTTCATATTTGTCACATTATAGAAAAGCATTTAACTCAGTGATGCCTGATTTTCAACTCACATTCAGTGATAAATGAATAGTGAATTGTGATTACTACTCTCTCTCCCCCCCCCCCTCCCCAATGGGACCCTCACTGATGTTTGCAGTACGATGAAAACTTCATTCTCAATAAATAAGTACCCCAACAATTTACTATTTAGCTTAGTACACGTAATTAAGTCCATTCCGTATGTTTAACAATTGCACTCTACAATTTGATAAAAACTTCATTCCTGATCTCACATTTACCAATTAGCACTGCTTTTAGTCTGACTACAGTAGTCCAGGTAATTAAGTCCATTCTGTATGTTAAACAATCACACTGCTTTTAGCCTAACTAGTCCAGGTAGTATACATGTACTAAGTAACCTCTGTTTGATCTTCAGAGTGCTGTGCGTGCCGCGGATAGTGTAGATCTGTATCAATTATTTGTGTACTGTATGTATAGTGAAACTGACTGTCAATATAGGTGTCACCTTCACTAGAAGAGCTAGTTTTAACAGTGGATTGTGCTGTGAGATGTGACATTTTTTTAAACATTAATATTGTGAGACATGACATCGATGTAGAAGTGCTCTGTTTAATCCAGAGTAAATCTGTATTACACAACTTAGATAAAGTACTAGTAAATATCGATCTACAGCCCGAGCCATTTATCATTTCTGTATACAAAGGTCCTAATTTCAGTGGAAAACTTCTTATTCATCTGGGTTTAGGTAGAGCTAAATTGTTGGCCTGAAGCTAAAAGTATTTTGATTTCAGTACAAATAGGTGACTGTCCCCCAACTTGGTACAGGTGCACTCTTGCTGCTCAGGACTGGGTGTGTACATCATCTGGCCAACCACTGATTGTATAGTATTCTGCCCATTCGTAGTAATTGAGCATGCATTGTTTTGAGTTATTGGCCTTCATCCGTGTTCACACAAGGAGTAATTTATGTTTGGGATGGTTGCTTTTAGCTTTGCCCAGTCAATAATTAGTTTATCAGAAGTAGTGACTTGTAGACGTGTTCAAACCAGAATTACCTTACTGGTATGCCTTCAGCTGTGCTCAGACCAGGATTAGGTTATAGTTAAAATGTTGACCTTCAGCTGTGTTCAGACCAGGATTACCTTATGGCTGAAATGTTGACCTTCAGCTGTGTTCAGACCAGGAAAAAGTTTGTCTGAAATGTTGACCTTCAGCTGTGTTCAGACCAAGATTAGTTTATGTCTGAGGTCACGCTGATTTCAACATTTGACATGTCTGAATACCCAAAGACTCTGGGCTTTGTTGTTATCTGATCAACAACAATGATAGTAATAATATGATAGGTAAAATATCTCTCTCTGTCTGTCTGTCTGTCTGTCTGTCTGTCTCTGTGCCCTTTTCTATGTATATCTGCTTTAGTCAATGATAAGTGTAATTTTCCAGGGCGACAGCTTGCAATGAAAAACCAGATGTTGTTGGAAATGAATTATTCTCAGAAAACTTTCATGGCTCAGTAATACAGATAATGACATGCCCACATCTAAAATTAAACTTATTAAACATTGGATATTTGGTGTAGAGCTTTTTAGGTATGTTAATAATGGATATTAAGCTTTCAGACTGGACCAATGTTTTAGTGATTTTTAGATAAATTAGGCTTGTTAGTTATACAGTATAGTTGTAATGATATTTCAGAAGAAATGAATATTTATGTCCTAGCCTAGTCTCATTGTAATCTCTTGGCATTTCTCTACTTGCAGAAAGCTACCAAGGCAAGGCGCAGAGCAGGAGTGTGTTTAGTGTTTAGTTGGTGAGGCAGTAACGTTGGCGTCCACCACGGAGCAGCCGCAACCATCCTCGCAGCCGAGCGGCCACTCCGGGGAGGCGCAGCACCACAACATGGCCGCCGTGTCGCGGGTCCCTACGCCACCGCCATCAGAGATGTCGTGCCCTGTGGCTGAAAACTGGTGCTACACGCAGGTATGGCGCATGCATGCGTACTCTGACACACAAATATGTGTGAGCACACATACTCACTATTTTTTAATACTGTAAATTAGCTGAAAAAAATTTTCTGCCATCTTATAAAAACTTTTTCAGAAGTTGAAGTATTAAATTTTGATTGATCCATATCAAGTTAAACTTGTGCATTCATTCTCAAATTTTTGTTGTAATTATGAGTGACTCTTAATATTATATGTTACTATGGAGTTTTTTCATGTCTCAGTGACATTAAGTGGTGACAGGGGCCTAGTGAAATTTTAATTTCATTCAAAACTGGAATATAATAGTACCAGGTAAGAGTTGCTGTCCCCTTTTCCAAATAAGATGAAATGTGATGAGTTTGTTAAATATTTCAGGTAAAGGTGGTGAAGTTTTCCTATATGTGGACCATCAACAACTTCAGTTTTTGTCGAGAGGAGATGGGAGAAGTGTTGAAGAGTTCCACGTTTTCTGCTGGTGCCAATGATAAGTTGAAGTGGTGAGTATGTCCACAAAGAAGTTTGTTAGATCTCTGAGTGTGTGAACAGCAAAACGATGATTTAAAAAATGGTTCAGTATATCCTCAATGAGGCAGTAAGTTAGAACTGTGGGTATATGAAAGATAAAAATGGTGTATTGATATTTTTTCAGGTTTTTAATACACAGTGAAAATGGGCATTCATGATTTTTTGAACAACAACAAAAATTATGAAAGGGTTCTTATGCAACTAAATATATAAAATCATGCAAATGAAATGAATAAGCAGTTATGTTTATCATCAAGATGACCAATGAAAAGGTCTAGTAGAACTGTTTGTTCTGGATATAATGCAAAATTTTTCTCTGTCTAGAAGTGTGATAACAACGGTAAATGTGTTTGTTGGGATGGCTGCAATGAAATGAGAGAATTAATCTCATATATCTTCATTACCTATTCATATAGTTATAATACTGATGTACTCTCTTCATGAGGCTAAGAGATTTTTTAGTTCAGTAAGTAATATGTAAAGCTTTGATGGTAATTGCCCTTTCTCTCTCACTCTCTCCCTCTCTCTCACACACACACACACACACATTCACTCACCATAAACATTGACATTTTACATTGACTGCGCCTCAGCAAGAGTCCCTGCTTAGATTGATCCTGCTAGTACGATAAGGTCAAGGTTGAAAGGACTGGTTGCAAAGACGGAGCCAGCATGTCATATAATATTAAGTTTATATTCTCTTCCGCAGGTGTCTTAGGGTAAACCCTAAAGGTCTGGATGAAGAGAGTAAAGACTACTTATCCCTGTATCTTCTTCTGGTCTCCTGTAACAAGAGCGAGGTCAGGGCCAAATTCAAATTTTCTATACTCAATGCAAAGAGAGAAGAAACTAAAGCCATGGGTAAGTGAAGGGTGCATGTGTGTAATGAAAGCAAATGGTAAGAATTTTAAAATACGGGTTTAGATAAAAGATGCAGTTTAGTATCAGTTCAAATTATTCATATTCGTTGCAAAGTGTGGAGAATTTTCCAAAAGTCGTAATGTTGAGTTTGAGTCACCATGGTTGTCTTAGGGTGCAATCCCAGAGAAATAGATTGATCCAGAGATTTAGGTATAGATTGACCTAACTCCCTGGGGGTTCACGCTAAATTGCAGTCAGCCGAGTGCACACCATAGTTAATTACCCCCTTACAGCTTTTAGCAGGCGGGACAGACGCTTAAGCTGGCTAAGCTGACAGTAATCTAGTGAGTCTCCCCACAGGGATAGATCGATCTAAAATCTATGGGAATGGGGTCTTAATCTCCCTTCTTAAGTGTTGGACTAAAGCCAGTCTGTACTAGTAAGTTAATTTTAGCAGAGATGTATGTTAGATTAACCATATGTATTGCTGTAAGGGAAGAAAATTAAGCTTCCAATTAGTAATTGATCGCAAAGTAATATTCACCATTTACCCATATGCATTGCTTAAGAAGTAGGGGATAATGTTGTAAGATTTTATAGCAAAAGTATATGAAAAGATGTTCTTATTAACTGAAAATAAGGGAAGATATTAAAGCTTAAGATAAGTCCTTTATTACAAATACTCAGTGTTTATTTTACAAAGCAGCAGCAGAAGGTAGCCTTAGGGTAAGTCAATGGATAGAAACGTGTGTTCACAATCTTTAACATCAATGTTGAAAAGATATAATAAATGTATGCTACTCGTAAGCCCATTATAGCAAATATATACTTAGGTGACACTGCTGTGTAGATTTTTTTTTTTTATCAGAGGCTGTAAGTATTTACTTAAAACAATTTTTCGGTTCATTAGTTGGAATCAACGATTAGGTTTGAGATTTTAAGTGATTTGTTTTAGGAAATTAACATCTTTGAGGTGGCATTAAAATCAATGTGCCAAAATAAGGAAACTAAAGATAGTGATAAATGATTTAAAGGTTCATTTGAACTGAGCATTGGTGAAACATGGATTCCCAACAAGGCATATAAGTCACTTCTACTAGTTTCTTATACGACTCAAATAATGTTGACATATTTAGGAATAAATCAAATACTAGTAAATCATTCAATCGACCATAAAATAGCTTTAAACTGTACCTTCTTCAAATTTTTGGTTGTAAATTCGACCTTCTTATCTGCCATGTTAAAAAACAGTACAGAAAACAAGCAGAAAAATCATTCAAAAAACCTTTTTTTGGTAATATGAAATTATGACCTGTGGTGTTTCTGAAAGTTATATTTTTTAAGTGTTTGGTGGCATTTTACCTTTTTTATTTTGCAAATTATTTAAAGACTACCCACATGCTTCAAATTTCTCAGTTTTTACTGGTGCAGAAAAAAATGTAAGAGTTTGTATTATTTTCGACAACAAATGGCCTTTCAACATAGGATCCTGATATGCCAACCGGTCATCTTATAGTCTAATGATACCAGTCACACGTATTTTCCTTCTCAAATACTTCCTGTCTGAACAAAATCATTAATATGTTATTTTTCTCTGCAGTCTACAAAGCACATGAAGTAAGGAGAAAATATCTGTGCAAATATATATATATATATATATATATATATATATATATATATATATATATATATATATATATATATATATATATTTTTATTTTCAAAAAATGATGTGAAAAACACTGTTTTTCTATAATTTATACTATTTGAAACCAGATGGGGGCATTTGGTTGGCTTTAGTGGTAATGCTTTGCCATACCTGCATGCCTAATATGCATCTTTAAAATGCTAAAAAATTTACGAGTGTTTCTAGGGCTTTGGCCGACAGAATTTGATGATGAAACAGATGAATAGAATAATTATAATGAACAATTTATGTTGGTTTTACTGCAGAAAGCCAAAGAGCCTACAGATTTGTCCAAGGAAAGGACTGGGGCTTCAAAAAGTTCATTAGGAGAGACTTCCTCATGGATGAAGCCAATGGTTTACTCCCAGAGGACAAACTAACTATATTTTGTGAGGTAAACAATGTTAACAACATATTTTATTGAAGATTTCTGCAGATGGTTTTGAAATCTGTTTTGAGACAATAGATGTTAGTGATCATATCATGTAGTAGATTATTAATTTTAATTTCTTTTCTTGCTTTATTTTGTAAACTGTTTATTAGTTACCCATAAAAATATTAGAGCAGACTTCTTTAATCCCACTTCTCGCACTCAAAAATTTATAAATGAAAAAAATGAGGTTTGGATGAATGTGTCTACAAATAAACAAATACAACAAGCAAACAATTTATTAAGATTTCTTTCTCTTTCTAGGTCAGTGTAGTGGGCGATACAATAAATGTCAGTGGACAGTCCAATTGTTCCCCTGTCAAAGTCCCTGAGTGCAAGCTCAGCGAGGACCTGGGCTCGTTATTCGAGCGTTCTGCTTTCAGTGATGTCATGCTTAATGTTGGAGGGCGAGAATTTCAAGCACATAAAGCTATTTTAGCAGGTAAGTAGCCTCTCTACATCAAGCTTGCAGTGACAAAAAAGTGGAAATCTAAAATAAAGTATATGTTCATTGAGTATAACGAAAGCAAGAATGAGAACTTGGCTCTTTAAAAAGATGTATTTACTCTTACAGCAAGGTCACCAGTGTTTAACGCAATGTTCGAACATGACATGGAGGAAAGGAAGTTGAACAGAGTAGAAATAACAGACGTAGAACATGAAGTAATGAGGGAAATACTGAGGTTCATATACACTGGAAAGACGTCAAACTTAGAAAAAATGGCAGATGATTTATTAGCAGCAGCTGACAAGGTGGGTCTTTTCTTTCATGCCCGACTTTTTCATTTTTTTTTTTTTTTTGTACTTCACATACCATCATTTACTTTCTCTTAACAGAAAGAGGCACAACTTTTAAGACAAAGATATATAGCTCTGCCTTTAGAGATGGTCAGTAATACCAGTTTGGGGTCGAACATAGCCAAGAGCTGACCTAAATTCAAATTGTAGGACTGTTTAGTTACGTGGTCAACATTTTTGAAAACAAAAAACATTCTTTTGAGAATTGTCAAGAGTTAAACGTTTTGCAAGCAAGACAGAATGCATGGAAGTGTCAGAGAAATCAGATCCACTACAGTGCAATGTCACCACGTTTTGGAGGCCAATTCAGTAAAATAATGGGCTCTATGTGACTGCCTCTCAACCAGTAAAATATGTGTGATCATGAGTCAGTGTGTCATGTAAACTTATTTAACACATTTTGAAAATGTCATTTGTAAATTGAATTTACTAATAAGTGCATATATTTGTATTTCTTAACAATAATAACAAACAAATGTATTTCTCTATGCCCCAATCTAAAAGTGCATAAATTTATTTCTCATCTAAATTTTTATATTGCAGTATGCCTTAGAACGCCTCAAAGTGATGTGTGAAGAGGCTCTTTGTACGAATCTGGTTGTTGAGAATGCATGTGAGGTTCTCGTACTTGCGGACTTGCACAGTGCTGAACAGTTAAAATCACATGCAATAGATTTTATTAACAGGTGGGTGTGTTCTGTTAACATGCAACATGCCCATTGCATAATTATTTATTTATTTCTGACAAATCTGGGCTCCGTATCTCGAAAGGTTTGCTATGTTGCGCACGTGCGCAAGTGTCTCGATTCCATAACCGATTCTATTTCGAGATACGGGGCCATGGAATCGAGACGCTTGGGCACGTGCGCAACATAGCGAATCTTTTGAGATACGGAGGCCTGGACAACATTGTAGTTCATCTTTGTCATACAAAATGTTGTTTACATCTCCACTCAGTTAGCATTGAATTGATGAAAAATAGATGTGACATTCATTTTTGAGCCTTTTTGGATAAAATGAAGATCATGCTGTAGTGATTTTACAGAATTTAAATTAGTTTGTATACCTTTCCATGGTTTCCGTCAGAAGTCATGTTGTAACTGAATTTCATCAAATTTCTGGGTTATATCTGGGTTTTTGTATCCTTTCTTCAATATTTTGAGTGTTGGAAAGTTGATTTATAAAGAAGAACAATAGTCTAGAGTAGTGTTTGATACTGTTACAGTATCTAGGTGAAAAAATGATCAAAATTTTCAGTCTTTTCATATATTCATTTCTAGCCATGCCACAGATGTAATGGACACTGCAGGATGGAAGGCCATGGTTACCAACTCTCCACACCTCATCGCTGAAGCGTTTCGCGCTCTGGCGAGTCAGCAAAGCCCACCCCTCGGACCACCGCGCAAACGCATGAAGCAGTCGTGATGTGTGCCCGAGCCTTTCTGTGAACATTATCAATCTTGTCATTGTTGCAGTCATCCAGAAGGCATTCTTGGTTTCCATGTACCAAAAATCTTTCATCAATGATGCAGTCAGAAATGGTTGCGAAAAGGAGAACTATGTGATGTTTTTGAATGATGGTATCATACCCCTCATGCTTTGATTTTTCAGTCATATCGATCATGGTTTGGGAAAGATTGATCTTCATTTGCAATTTTCAGTCACTTGCAATCTTTCATTGGTTTTTTGCGAGAGGCAAGTTGTGAAGAGAAGTGGTTAGGGTCCAGAGTGACGTGGCAGGCGTCTGGGATTACAGGCACTTTCCCTGTGTCATGATGCACGATCAAAGTCTCATTCTGGCCAACTGGAGTTATTTTTTTTGGATATGAAGTTTTTTTTTATGAAGCAGTAGCACTTTCTGTGGTATTTGCATTTGTAAAACTAGGACAAACAAAGTGGTAGGTCATAGGGAAGAGGTGGATTTAAGGTTATTGAGGTCAAGGTCAAGGCCACTGAGCACGGTCATTGATGATCAGGTCAAGGCCACTGGTCAAGGTAATTGATGATCAGGACCTCTAAGAACAATGCCAAAATGCAGGTCATAGGTTATTTTATGGCCCGACTTCAGAAGTCGGTGTATTAAGCTCTTTCATTTATATATTGCAGAATCTGTGTAGCCAGTATCTGTTTCATTCATCAGTATTTAGATTGCTTATTTGTGTGCATCTGTAGCTGCACTTTGGTCAAAATTTCAGTGAGGAACTATAAGAAATATGATTGAGAAATTGTAATCAGAGATGGGCATCTGAACAGCCAATTTTTAAGTTATTTATTTTTTAAAATCCTTCATTTGCTAAAAACCAGAATGCATTATTTCTATTAGATAAGAAAGTATTTGAATGGACAAGAGGGTGTTCTGATGGAGAAGTGGCTTTGGTGAAAGACAGCACTATTCGTGCTACTTTTCTCAAAAAAGACCATCTTCAAGATCAGAAGGTTTTGGTCCGAAAAGAATGATGAAAGATGGAAAATGCTTTCTTAAATAAGCCCTTGACTGCACTTGCAGATGCCAAAACACATACACAACCGACCAATATAAAGGGTGCAAAATTTATGGAAAATATTTAAATGAAGATGATGTGGATTCATGAATATTTGCACCTCTTCTTAATGTATTTATTTATTATAGAAAATATTTTGTGCAAATTATGAAATTTGATCAATTTTCAGTAGAAGGCAATATTCAGTTAATGGTAGGTAATGCTTATTTGGTCATTGAAAAAAGTGAATGTTTCCTTTGAGTTAAGTCAAAGTATGTGAAATCAAAAGATTTAAACCAAGAAAATATTAGCCATAAATACTTATAATTAATACTTATAATTCTTCCTTCGAGTGGAACAAATTATGCTGCTCCCCTTTTATGTGTCAATTCACATTTCCTTACCCCCCTCTTCTACGATCCAAGCTTCAAAACCAGCACTATTGTCAAATCAATTAATATATTACATATTCTTGGCAGTAGGTGTGCATAAATATTCAAAACTGCTGTATCATACTTAATGTAATGAATATGTTAAGTGTAGCTATGTTTCTCAATACGTTTGGCTGCAGCCAACAAGCATATCTAGTCTACATTATTGCCTTCATGTAACTAACTTGCTGGACGAGTTGAACGTGATCGAGATTACAAGAATCCAGGCAGACTGGTGACGAGGAAGGCAGGTCATATGTGATCGGACCAAAAGTTTTCATTTGACTGAGTGAAGGGTTTGTGAAAGTTGCACTGTGAAGGTCTGTACTGCACATCTTTGTGAGTTTATTTATTTATTTTTTTTTTTTTTTAATTTTCTTGTTGGAACATGTGCACATTAGCTGGATGTTTTATCGCACTTAATATAGATCATATCTACAGCACATCTGAATAGATACTACATCAAGACAAGTTATTATTTCTTCTAGATATTGCCTCTGTCACAAACTTCAATGTAGGACAGCACATAAGGCCTGTTCACATTTTAAAATCTTTCTTTATAACAGAATTGGCCTTGTAATTTATCTTGCAGCCTTGCTACAAAGAGCTCTATTTGTATTGATGTTCATTCATTATACAAGTCTGGATGGCCTTTTGGGTAAAAAAAATATCCCTGCTGAAAACTTAAGTCAAGGTCATATAACCAGTGACCTTAGGTCAAGGCCATATAACCAGTGACCTAAGGTCAAGGCCATATCATCAGATCTTGAAGCATTATGCATTAATGTGGAATACTTGTTTGTTGTATCTAGTCAAATCAATGATTTAAAATGCCAACAAGCCAAAACATAGATAACTAAAAAAGACCACGAGGCCACGGTGCAAGTTGTCTGATGATGGTTTTGGAGACCAAAATTTAAACTGGCTTAAATGTTGTATACTATGGTTGCCCCGTGCTTTGATTTCTTGGATAAAACGGTAGAGCCAGTCTGTATAAAAAAAAAGGGAAAACTGATGGTTAAATTAAAAGCATACATGTTTTTTAAAAAACATCCTTAGAAAAAGAATTCCACATTTCTTAAAGGTTTCATAGCTCCTTTTATTTATTTTATTAATTCGTTTTATTTATTTCTTTATTTATTTTTTGATGGGTGCTTTGCAGACTCACTAACTACGTGCACTCAGTAAAAAAGTGAAGCAGAAGGTTTAAAAAACTCATTATCAGAATGATGTGTAGCTTGAGGTTTTTGTGCTTAGAATCTCCATTTGGCTTTCAGTTTATCACCACTGTGAGATGATTGCCTCAGTTTTATTTATTTATTTATGCACAAATAGGTCATATACTAATGTGTAGAATTATAAAATTGCCATGTAAATCACATTTTGTTTTATTTGATGTACATAATTATTGTATCTGAAATTGTTCTGCCCATGGAATACTTGTTGGACATTTGCAAAGCAAAGGGAGACATATATCAAGGAGAAGAGCACCAAGCCTCAAATGTGGGATTGTGGAGATAAAAATGTAGTGAACTCTTCATTTAAAGGAGGTACAAATTAACAGCAGTGCTGTTTTGCAGTTTCAAGATTTTTTTCCTTACGATTCATGTAGATAGTATGTACATGAAATTTCTGGATGTCATATCATTTTCTGCATTTTTTTATTTTTACCAGATGAAGTTTGCAATTTACCAAATTTGCCCAAATTATTAGTGGAGTAATTGCTGTGGTTTTTGTTCATATCTTTTTAGGTTACACTCATTTTATTTTGACATGTAATGAAATGTTTATCAGATAAATGATAAAATAAAAGTAGAAAATATAAAAAAATGAATTAGATGTAAGTATGGAATGAAGAAATTTTCTATTGAATGACTCAGAATTTTTCAGATGGAATTAAAATTTCATAGCAGCAAGGGATAGTGTTTAATTAATATTTCCTCACTTGAGAGCCTTACACCCCAATCTAAGGCCCCATTCTTATAGACACCATTGGTCTACATAGATACTTCCAACTCCCAGGGGACTCGTGCTGAGTGCCATCAATTAACAGATTGACACACCTCCTGGCGTGAAATGGAATACAGAAAAGTTGGTGATTATGCCAGTACACTGGAATCAAAAGGCATGTCAATCCTGATTGCACTCAGCAAGAGTCCCCAAACAGTTGGATCAACCTACATAGACCAGAGGTGTCCATTGGAATTGGGCCTTATTTAAATCAGTGTAATTTGATTGTGTAAGTGCGTAGAATGTAAATACACAGATATTTTAACCCTTCATTCCAAAGATGCAATGTTCCCCAGATTTCACCTTGTAGGTAATCATGCATGAGTTATTGCGTATTCCTAATTAGTTCCTGTAGTATTTGAGGGCAATTGAATATTTCAAATTGATTAAGTTTGTGCTGCAGTTATTGTGGTTTAGTGCTCCACACAGAAGTAGTGAGAACATTTTGATGTAAAGATTTTTACAGTGATTTGGGGATAATTTTCAGAAGTGGGCAAGTGTCCCTCTCCCCCTCACAATTGTCTGTATTCTAATATTACTGTGCCGTGAGCATGTCTCTTATGCAATAATGTGAACACTGGCTTTCATGTTTTGTTTGTTACTTTGTATTGAAAGTAAAATGTATGAAAACATTTATACTTGTTTTCTTTCTTACTTAAATAACCACATTTCGGACCTCGAGTGGTCCATCCAAAGAGAATGGATTATGAATTCTGGAGTCCCCTTGCAACGACAGTTGTTGTGGCCCATGTTGGTTTATTACTCCTTAGACAGTCTAACTCAAAAAGTAAAGGACAGATTTTGATAGGATTTTCAAAATAGGCCAGAAACAGGCTCAGAATTGATAAGAATTCGGTGGTGACCCTTGAATTATAATTATTGCCTCAGCAAGGCCAGTTCTACAGTGCTTCCATAGATCTAAAAGGCTTGCCAGCACCGTATTTGTGACTGTAATGTCCATATTTGCTTCAGAGGTGCACAAATGTTTTGAGAAAGAATTAATTTTTCTGATTTTGTATGCATTAAATTAATTAAAAAGTGAAATTTTGCTTTTAAAATAAATTGACAAAATTGCTTAAAGGATTCATCAATGCATTTAATGTTTTAAAAAATGCACAACCCAAGATTCAGTTTTATCTTTTATTGACAAATTATCTGTACAAATATATACAAAATTATTTAGCCTTCTATTCAATAAAGAGAACAAAACGTACGTGCATTTAAAACCTTCAAAAGTAAAACTAGGACACAACCCATGTTGCATTATTTTAAAACTGAAGGTTCTGCAACTCTTGCTTTATTTTACAAAGGACAAAAATACTTCTAAAAATATTCACATCATTACAAAAAAGCTCATAAATCACTTATAACTGAAAGTTTCAATCTTGACCAAATGTCAATGATATTCATCTGCATATTTTAGAAAGCACAAGTCAATAAATTAAACTGAAGCTTACTTTTCCATTTGTACAAGAGAGCAAGAAATAATCAAAAATGTTCATATTTGAAGTGTCACCAAAGGTCAAGCCAATTTCACACCCTAATTCTGAATTAGTCACTGAACTCGTCACACACTAACTTTAAAATAAATCACCTAGATTTTTAAACAAAAATGTAACCACAAAAATATTTTATCATTTATACAAAGAGGCAAAACATTAATACTGGATAAACATGAAAAGCGACACCAGTCTTTTCAGTTTTCTCCTGTTTAGAAGTCTAGCAATTGGTGCAACTTGGACTCGATGAGATGAAGTTTAGATTTACTTTGAAAGTAAACTTCAGGCATAATTTTGATCCGTCTTTTTCTTTTCTTTAAAAATTTACATTAAAAATTCACATCTGTATAAATAAGGCATTTTCACTTGCACAGTTTACAATGTATTAGTATGAGGTGAAAAAAGTAGAACTTGCACTTGAAAATCCTGGACAGGGTAGCCATTTCAC